ACTGAGAAATCCCGCCCCCTGGGTTTCAGGGAAGAATTTGGCAGCCTCTGGGCCCCTGACTCAGGAGTGTATTTCCTTACCAGTGTGGAGCTGGCTCCCTGCAACCGGTGTAGACATATCCGGTCTACACAGTGTAGACATAACCCTGCACAAGTCGCCTGAGGCCGCCACAACCTGGATGGCTTTCAACAACAGAAATGTGCTGTTCAGGTTCCATAGGCTGGAAGTGTGAGGTCGAGGGGTCACAGGGCTGTTCTCCCTCCGAGACTCTGGTTAGTACCTTTCTTATCCCTCCCAGCTCCTGGTGGCTGGCAACCCCTTGGTGTCCCGTGTCTTCTGGACACATCCCTCCATCCTCTGCCTTTGCCTTCCCACAACATCGTCCCCATCCGACTCTGTGTCTCCTTTCCTCTCCTCATAAGGAGACCAGTCCGGTTGGGTGGGGGCCCCCACCCTGCTCTAGAATGACCTCACCTTAATTCCACCTGCAGTGACCTTGCTTCCAAATAAGGTCACACTCCTGGGCACCAGGGATTAGGACACAACATATCACTTTGTATCATATGTGAGGGGGACACAGGTGAGCCCACCGGACACCTTTAAGAGGAACCTGTGATTCTTCTGTTCAGGAGGGTAACTCCCCATGAACAATTTGGAAACATACGTCGCGTATACTGATAAAGTCGATGCCTACAGTTCCAAAATGCAATGCTTATTGGATCCAATATAGCATATTTCTCAAATTGGTCATCCTTTCTCTTTTTAATGTTTATTTGTTTATTTTGAGAGAGAGAGAGCATGTGCACAGGGAAGGAGCAGAGAGAGAGGGAGAGAATCCCACGCAAGCTTCTTATCATGGGTGCAGAACCCGACGCAGGGCTCGAAGTCACAAACCGTGAGAGACAAAACCTGAGCCAAAACAAAGAGTTGGACGCTTAACCAACTGAGCCACCCAGGCGCCCCTCACATTGGTCATTCTTAACCAGAGTAGACACCAAGGCCACCCCTTGAGATTTGGGGGAGAAGATGCCTGTGCCCTGCAGATTGTCCTGCGTGGAGTACTGAAGGGCACACCCATTCCCATGTGCTCTCTGGGGAACCGCCCCCCCGTGACGCCAGTCTGCCACCACGGAAGGGTGTGGGCGACCCTCCTCTTCTGCATCTGCCACACGCTCGGGGGCGCATGAGGATTCCTCCTCTTTGCTGGATCGGCCCTTATCACCTTGAGCCCAGAGAGAGTTTGCCCTCCAGATAAGCCCTCAACAGTGCTTGTCACGAGCAAATAACATTCAGATAGTCGAGTCGACTTTTTGAAGATATGGTGAGAAGAAATGAGGAGCATTGATTCAGATCCCACCATGAACTAAGCACATAGATGGAGTTTTCTGCTACTTATGACTAGTTGATGGCCCCCAATGTGTTCTTCTCCTATGACTCTGCAGTGGTCCCTGGGCAGGACGGGCAAGGTGAAGGCAAGCTAAGCATCCGGTTTCCCAAGTTACCTGCAGTTACTTGCTCAGAAAGGCAGGCTTCTTGTCTTGTTCCAAGGCGAGGGCTCATGCAGTTAATTTAGTTGACGAAATAGGGGTTTGTTTTTGTTTTTGTTTTTTTCCCCTCTGCAGAACTCTGTTCCTAAGCTACATTGACTTCATGGCATTTAAGCCAACTGCCTCATTAAGCTGGAGATCCTGAAGAAAGCGTTTGCAGAATAAGGATGTTCATAATTAACACAAAAAATGCCAAGGCTTTATCTGCCTGGTCCTTCTCCCCTTAGTTTCTTATACTTAATGATCTCTTTATCGAGCAACTAACACAGAGAGAAATAAAAGAGCGGAGGAGCCCTGTGTTAAAGGGCATCTGGAGAAAGTAAGCTACCGTTCCCCTGGTTTTGTATGCCTTCCCCCCACCCCCCCAACCCCACGCAGGGCAGGGTTCCTTCCCATTTGCCGTCATCTCGCCGTGGAAGAGAACTGAAGAGAATAACATTCGCCAGAATTTGTCATCCCGGAACTATATGGTCTCTGACTTCCCTTTCCACCCGGCACAAGCGAGAGTCTGAAGTGACCCTTTTTTTGCATCCCCGTTTCCCGGTGCTTTGAGCTTAGCAGAAACACGCTGGCATTTGCCGACGGAATTGATGGAAACTGATTACTCTCTGCCCGAAGTCAGGCTCGGCCTTCAACCCCATTCATTCTCTCTCCTGAGGGCGAGTCTGGAAGCAGCTTGCACACAAAGACGGCTGGACGTGGGAAGCTAGTTGTCTCTCGCTCCCCCGGCCACCCCCCACCCACGCACGCAGGCCCACCGGACACATGGCGGGGCCACTTGGCACAAGGTCCTCCCTCTCGTTCTAGGGGATTGCTCTGGGTCCAAAGAGCAGAAGCAGATGATTCGTCTTCACAGGGGTTGTGGTGGCTTGTTTCTGTCAGGCTTCTCCACTTATGAAGGCTTTGTCAGCCAGCCGTTTTCCCGTTGGGATTAGCCTGAGTTGGCCATGAATTCACGTGCTGTGGAAACCGCTGCCAGGCCCCTCGCCACTGACTTTGGGGGCGGGAGGGGGAGGGGGAGGGTCTGCTTCCTTCCCCCTGCCCCTTGAATTCCGTTCACTGGCTGTGATTCCACTCGCCTTGATTGGCTCCCCCCCGTCCCAGCCCTGCAGCACAGAAGCCATTGAGCAGAATCACCCACAAATTGCATTGCAAATGGTGCCTGTTTTTTTCCAGCAGGCCATCTGCTGGAGTCTATTACTCACCCTCCACAGAGCCAACCCGAGGAGTCAGGTGGTTCTGGGTACAGCCACTTCGGAATCACCTCGTTCCACACTCACCTGAAAGTCACTTTGCTGGCTGCTGAAGACGCTGGAAAATTCCAGGCTCTGGAGAGGCGGTCTTCTTCCTTTTTTTTTTTTTTTTAAACCTCAGGAGACCTTTGGGCCTCCGTGGGCTCTGGAAAAGCTTCTGAGCCCACTCGTGGGACGCCCCCAGGTGGCAGGATGCGGGAGGGAGGGGGGCGGTGCTGTTAGGGGTGATGGCCATGCCCTCGGTGAACAGAGGGACCTTGTCCAGGGGCTAGAACCAAGGACTCCGTGGCTCTTCATCTGTTGTCCACGGAGCCCCGCATTCAGACCTGGGTGCACTGGGGACAGGAGTGTTGGGTGTTTCGTGAGACTCTACCGTCTGGTGACCAGCCAAGTAGCAAGCCCGTGCTGCATTGAGGGGAGTCTCCATGAGCTTCTGGCCGCTGGAGGACAGCGCCCAGAAGGCAAGGAGGAGTTGCTTCCAAGGAGAATGACACTTGCTGCTGCAGGTGCCACAGACTTGGGGGCTCCTCCCCTGAGAGACCAGGCCAGTGACCCGGGGGGGGGGGGGGTGGACGGACAGCTGCCTTCGGGCACCCCCACACCGGGACTAAGGGTTTGCAGCCTGCCCCACTCGCAGGCCTGGACTTGGCTGTGAGCGCCTCCAGGACGTGGCCCCCAGGACGTGGCCCTAAGCCTTTGTGTCCACCCTGTGGCCATCCGATCCCCGTGGTGCTTCCCCCCCCCCAACCTGTCCGCCACCTAGGCTAGCCCAGCTCCCTTGTCTCCTCCGTGTTCCTTCCCCCGTGATCCTCTCCTTCTGTGGCCAGTTGTCCTTGGCTCTGTTCCAGCGTATGCTGTCCCTTGGGTTATGTGCACCCATTTTCAGCATGATTTCAGCTTCCTCATCGGCTTTCTGCCATACGGGCATGTGGGGCTGGTTTATGGCACACACCTGATGATAGCCAGCTCAGTGGGACTTGTATTATGTGATTGGAGAATTTTTCAATCGTTACTCTATTTTGTTTTTATTTATTCTTGAGAGAGAAAGTGAGTGAGTGTGTGAGCAGGGGAGGGGCAGAGAGAGGGAGAGAGGATCCCAAGCAGTCTCCACACTGTCAGTGCAAAGCCCAACACAGGGCTGGAACTCATGAACCATGAGATCATGACCTGAGCCAAAATCAAGCGTTGGAGACTTAACCAAGTGAGCCATGCAGGTGCCCCTATTAATGATTACTTTAAAAACAAATCTGGAGGGAATTTCTTTATGATGCATATGGATTGTGTACAAGAGACAATCCTTTGACCTAAAAGCTGTGTAGCACCCAGATGGGGTCTCTGGTCCCCAGCACCCTGACTTGGTACACTGGGCGAGTTTTAAGCAGAATAGAATTGTTCTTTCTGGAATAGATCACAGATCCCACAAAAATCATCCACAGGTAACAACTCTGATTAGCCAAGACACTTGGCTGCACTCACACACAATAATGGGCATTTCTGGGGGAAGCCTATGAGAATTATCATTTGCATTTCAGCCCCGTTGGAGATGGGGCCATTTTGTTTTTCTGCCACAGGAAGTGAAATCCGTCGTTCCTTTAAGGCTGAGGAATGTGCTGACCTTTGAACCTGTTCTTTCGCACGGCTGTTCATGAGGGAGTATGTGTGTGGGCATGAATCCCCAGGCATCTCCCGCAAGCTGATCTGAGATTTTCCGGGATGTAACCTACAACACAGCTTTCTTTCTCACTCGGTTCTGCCTGGATGTGCCCTGCTTCTGCGTGGATTGATTTCCTGTAGCTTCGCTTTTGTAAAGCATCTTAAAATAATAACTCACAGTGGCACAATAATTCAATTCAGAAAGCACTCGTTGGGCTCATCGTGTTCAAATTTGTGCAAACGAGAGAGAGAGAGAGAGAGAGAGAGAGAAGCTCTCCAGATAATGAACTTCTGTTCAGTTGGACCTTGATTTATTGGGGTTCATTCTGGGGCTTGGTGGTCAGCACCAGGCTTTTCTTGAGCCCCGTGGAAGGAAGGCATATCCAGGGCACGGTGAAGACCACTCGAAGATTGTAGAAGGTCTGTGTCCCCAAGGCGGGGTTCATGATTTGCTGGCCAGCTCACAGATGTGTCCACGCACCATTGGTGTGCACTCCATGTGTGTGTCCATTGTGTGTCCACATTTCTCCGCTTTGTGTTCCCTTAGAGGAGATTTTGAAGACCCACATCGCCCACTGGTGGTCTCCGGACGGCACGAGGCTCGCCTACGCCACCATCAACGACTCCCGCGTGCCCGTCATGGAGCTCCCAACCTACACTGGCTCCATCTACCCCACAGTGAAGCCCTACCACTACCCCAAGGTAGGCGACAAGAAACAGTGGAGCGAATTCTTCGCCTCGTTCCTCAGTCCCCCCGACCCAGGCGACTCCAGACGTGGAGCTGTAGAATCAGACGTGTTCTGAGCAATGCAGTAGAACAGAGGCAAGATTAATTATTTCCCATTACACTGCATTAAATTCCCATCTCCGCTGAGTTGAATTTGTTGGCAGGTTTACTCTATCTTAAATAGTTGAACTGCCGTTAATCATTTGTGTGAGTTTCATGGGACCCAAAATAAGTACCTTACCTCCCCTTGTGAGTCCATGGCAACAAAGTCACACTGCCTGCTCCTGGGGCCCTCTCTCGTCACGTCCCTGTTTTAGAGTTTGGCTCCTGGGAGGTCCGAGGGACGTCTGTCTGCCCCTGGTCCCCTGGGTCTGTGCAGGGCTCTTTTGTGTTTGGTCATATCCCGGCCTGTAGTCTCTGATTGCTTCCCAGACCAAGTTGTTGGCACAGAGACTGGCAGGACAGCAAGGGTGCGGTGGAGGGGGAGGGGTACAGATGTCTGGACCTTGCTTTGTTAGCAAATCACAGCATCCTGGCACGAAGCAAGGACTGGTGCCACATTTTCTGCAGCCCGAACCGCTGCAGAGACACTGATGTCTGACAGAGTGGGCTCAGCGGCCCTGCCGCCCCCCCCCCCCCCCCCCCGCCGGCTTCGCTGGAGCGCTCCAGGGCCCGCGGAGGCCACGGCCGGTGGACGTGAGCCGTTCACTGCCTGCACCTGCCTGGTGACGGAGCACTCGCTTCCCGCCTGCAGCTGCCTCGGAAGGACCCCTGGAGCCCGCGCCCGTGAGCGCTGAGCCGTGGCTCCCAGGCCATCAGACCATCTCCCAGATCAGAGGGCTGATGCCATGCGCCTTGTGTATCGGAAGGACGGGACATGCCAGCCTGCAGGGGGCAGCGAGAGGGGCGATAGTGTGCAAGTGAGGCCAGTGAGGTGCCCGGCGTCCCCGGCCACAGAGAGGAAGCCCCTGGTGTACAGTTGGTGCAGGTGCCATATATTCGTTTCTCACAGCCCTGCCTGGAGCCTGAGAGTCCGAGATCGGGGTGCCGGAAAGGTCGGGTCCGGCGAGCACTGTGTGTCTTGCTCCACCCCTGCCTTCTCCCTGTGTCCTCCCACAGCGAGGGAGCTCCGGTGCCTCTTTCTCTCCACACGAGGGCACCAGTCCCTTCACGGGGCGCCACCCTCCTGACCTCACCTGACCCCGATGGCCTTCCCAAGGCCTCACCCCCGCATACTGTCACACGGGGGCTTGGGGCTTTGACCTAGGAAGGAATTCTCAATTTGGGGGGTGGGGGACACAGACATTCCGTCCACAGCACCTGGAAAACAGTTCTCTTAATTTTTTTTGTTTTTTGAGAGAGAGAAGGAAGAGGGGGGAGGGGCAGAGAGAGAAGGAGACACAGAATCCAAAGCAGGCTCCGGGCTCCGAGCCGTCGGCACAGAGCCCGACGCGGGGCCCCAACCCACAAGCCGTGAGATCATGACCTGAGCCACAGTCGGACGCTTGACCCCCTGAGGCACCCAGGTGCCCCAATACTGAGCCTTTTCTGTGGGTCTTCGATTGGCGTGGCCAGTATCCAAGGAGGTCCCTGAGTGGAGGAGCACGAGCTCTGTGAAGGCACAGAATTGTCCCCACCACCGTCCCACTCCGACAGCACTTGATATCAGCCTGCCACACGGACCTGCCTGTTGACAGAAGTCTCCCTTTTCAGCTGGGCTTCATTGGACTGGACTCTACATCTTGTGGAAGGGGCCAGGGTTTTAGTCGCAAACGGTTAACTAAATGCGGGCTCTTTTGACCCTTGAACGCCCCACCCCCCACGCACACAGTGGGGCCAGTGGCTGCCTGACTCCTCTAACAGCCAGGGATCCAGTGGCTTCCCCTGTGAACCCTGTTATGGGCGTTTCCCCAACTTAGGAGTGGTGACCTGAGATCCGTCTGGAGTTCACACTGAGCTCTGGGGTGGGTGAAATTGGAATTACAGAAGCCCGGACGGTTTGTATTCGGATGGAAAGGCGGCATATTCTAGCCAACAGAACTCAGGCACCCCTTGCCCCGTTGTACTGTCTCCCAAATCAGAGGCATGAGTTGGTGACCCCGCCAGACTCCCGCCCTATTGTGGTGAACCCGACACGTCTTCATGCAGGGAGCAGAGAAGCAAGGGTATCCGTCAGACCCGGCGTGTCGCTGACGAATAATGCCACGTGTTCCCCTGTCCCATCCCGGCAGCGCTGTTCCGCCCGAAGAGGGAGCACAGAGCAGCAGTGACGCAGAGCAGAACCCACCCAGCACCTTTTCTGCACCTTTTCCAGGGACTTCCCTTTCCCCACCGCTGGGCCTCGGCCAACATTCATCAGCCTTCCCCACCCGTGTCTTTGCCCTCGGGTGCGCTGCCTCCTGGCCTGGCCTCCAGGAATTTCTGTCCTGCTCCTTGTCCCATCCCTTGCCCCTCCCAGGTTGACAATCGGGAGGCACTTGGAGGAACAAGAAGAGGGTAGGGTTCCTGGGGAAGGAATGGCACCCCAGTTGCCTTTGGTCCTTCGTGCGGCAACTGAGGCACTGTCCCCGCAGGAAGGTTTACTCACACCTGGTCTTCTTTGCTTCCCAGGCTGGAAGTGAAAACCCCAGCATTTCCCTGCACGTCATTGGCTTAAATGGACCCACCCACGATCTGGAGATGATGCCACCCGATGATCCACGGATGAGGTTTGCTTCCTTGTTTCTACTATGCTAAGAAAATAAGGTGAACGTTCATTTATGTGGTCTCTCCAGATTTATTTTACTGCTCTCTTCAACATCCAAGAAAAAGGTACATTGTCCAAAGCTTTGCCTACTGCTTCATGATTCACTTTTCTGGAAAGGAATACGAGTCCAACCAGTACCAGTATTTCTTTCCTTAGTCAGGAGCAGACTGCTCTCCCTGGGAGGCTGGGCTCCTCGGGAAGGGGCATGTCAGGTCAGCCGCAAGACTCCAGCAGGGACACATTGTCTCACACAGGCAGACGCTGGAGAACATCCATTGGATGAATGGATATAGCCTTAACCAAGAAAATCCACATGATCAGACTTTCTGTAAATGGTGCCCCATTTAAGAGATAACTTTAGAACAATGGCGTACCTTGGCAGCTCGAGGAGCTGGTGGTAAATCCTGCTCTAGTAACCCACTTCTCCTGGTTGGTAAGATAACCTGTGTAGGTGTTAGAGCGTATTGGCAAAGGTAACTGGCCTGTTATCATTACCGTCTGGTTTGGGTAGATTTTTTTTTTTTTTTTCTGTTAATCAAAACTGCTGAGTAGGGTCTATCTCAGTGAAGTGGTCTGAGTATCACCAAAGTTTGAACAGCCTGGGGACTGAATAGACTTCCAGAACCCCCCATATCAGCAGTAAGCTTCTCTATGGGGGATATTGATGGGAGACTGAAAGAAAGGGGAGCCCACCGTACACACACCAGACCCATAGTGCCGATAGATCTCCGTAAGTCTAGATATGGGCCCAGTGAAGCCAAGAACGATTCATTCTGAGACTCAGAGGACACCCACCGCAAATTTTCCATAACCTCTAGCCCAGGCCTTTACTATCCAGTTATAGAACTCCACATTATTTGTCGCTTCTGGCAGCTTCTGGAAGGACAGGAGCTGTGGCCCCATCCGCTCCGACTCCTCCACAGGCCCTGCCCAGGGCTGGGCGCTCTGACATTGGGTCCTGCTGGTATTCTGTGGATGGTGTGGTCCTCTCCTGCGGTGACTTCCTTAGTAAGACCCTCAGAAGCGTGAGCCTATGGAAAATGCCACAGAGATTCTTTTAACGCTTTCTTCTCCGTGGATAATAAAATGCTGTGAGGTCCTCAGGTACACAGACCAAGCACAGTAAATGGGCTTGTAAATGGCTCTGTAAATGGCTCTGTAAATGGCTCCTCGCGGCCTCTCTCCCTGCCCAGGATTGGTCTCCTCAGTCATATCAGAGGGTCGCAATGTCCCCAGAGGCTCATGAAGCTGGCCCCCGAGCCACCGGTGCCTGGAGTCCCAGAGCCCTTGGTATATGCTGGTCAGGGGGGGGGGGGGGGGGGGGGTAGGGGGTGTTGAACGGATCTGGCTCATGTGCTTCTGCTGGGGTAGAAGAAAAGTTCCGGTCATTGCTCTGCCTCCTGTCCTGAAGATCCAATATTTCATTGTTTTCCTTTTAGCCCCCATCCCTGCCAAGCCTCCCGGGGCCTGGTCCAGCAAACTCACTGAATTAATATGGAAAGTCACCTGGAAAATTTAAGCCATCTGTTTGAGTTAATTGAAAATCTCATTTGGTCAATTTGGTGATGCTGTTTCCACAGGCCTGATTACCTTCAAGGACAATGAAAAATTAGCCTCAGTCGGGGCTTGAAATTCAGACACTGGCTTCAGGTTCTCTGCTCTGATTTCCTAGGCTAAATGCAATCCCGTGCCTCACGTGCAGCAGAAATCTGTAATATGCAAACGTCACGCTGTCTCATTCTCTCTCTCTCTGTCACACGGCCTTGAGATTTTTTTCCAAAGAGAGCACAGGTATATCAGAAATCGTAGAATAAATTGTGAGCGAATATTTATCGGGCATTTAGTTCACCAGCCGTTAGCGTGAGCGCCGCAAGCATCGTGGGGAACGAGACGTGGAGCGGATGATGTAGGGCCCGCGGTGTAGACTGAACAAATCGTCACAAGTGAGTGGATAACTGCAGGCGTGCGAAGGGCCACCAAGCACGTGGGGTGTGGAGGAGGGGCCGAGCTACTGTGCGGGGTGACCGTGTCTCTCCCAACCTCAGCACTACGACACGTGGGGCCTGGTGACTCTTTGCTGTGGGGGGCACTGCGGGGTGTTTAGCGGGGCCCCAGCCCCACCCATCAGACGCCAGTAGCACCCCACCCTCAGTTGCGACAGTCCCCGTCTTTGCCAAATGTCCCCACATGGAGGACCACTGGTTCAGAGTGAAGGATCTCGAGCCAACGCCTGCGTTCAAATCCGAGTCCTGGGACCCTGGGGAAGGTACGCAGACGCGCTGCCTCAGTTTCCCCATCTGTAGAATGGAGATAAACATTACTGATAGAAGTGGTTGTAAAAACCAAATGAAACAGTGCAGGTGGCACAGGGCTGGCTATACGGTCACCCCGTCTTGTGGCGTGGTCAGTACTTCCTGTGGACTTGCTGGCAACCTTCCCCTTCAGAACTCAGCCTGACCTGTCCCCACAACCCCAGTTGTGCATGAACTGGTCAGGTTGCAGTTCTCCGGGCAAAGTAAATGAATGTGTGTCGAAGATTTTCTTTAACTCCTTAGCTAAGAAGGCAGCCAGTGAAGTGTTAGGACCAGTCTTGCTGGCATCGGCAAAGCTAGGTCTGTGTGATCGGTGTAACAGAGAAGTGTGGGGGTAGGTTTGCTGGGTAACGGGTCTAGCAGGGCCCTGAACTGTGACCTTGGGGGATAGCTGGTCCACCTGCAAAAACCCAGGAGGGAAGTCTGCCCGGGCAGAGTCCCCACTTGCCTCAGAGGCCGAGCCCGGGGTTATGCTGGAGGAATACTGCTAGATCCTGTTCCCTCTTTCCAGGTTTCAAATACATTTTCTGAGAATCTCTAAATGACGTCACCAACTGGACACAGAACAGATGCCCCGATCTCCTTCCAAAATCCTACTGCCCGCAGTCTGGCCTCCTTGGGTCCCCATGTGCTCAGGCCTCTGACTTTCCTGGGGGATCTTCCCCTGGAGGGCACGGCGTCAGAGGGTGTCCCCTCCCTCCCATCTCCTGGTGACCCCAGCTGAGGCTCTCCGGGACCACAGGCTTCCAGGCCCTCCCCGCCCCTCCTGCCCAGCCCAGAAAGCCGTGAGCTATGTCAGACCGCCTGTTCCCTCTGCTGGCCTGCTGGTGGCTGGCTGTGCTTACGTTCTTTTGTTCCCTTAAAATCATTAGCTGCTGAGGTCTGTTCTTCCGCAATGTTGACATATTCCAGGCCCTTCTGCTAGAAACATGCTCTAGGCGAGTAGCGACAGGCAGGTACAGCTCACCAGATGGCCAGGGGCCGAAAACAGCTTCTACGTCAAGAAAGCCACCTGTCGTCTTTCTTCTTCCGAGGACCCAACCCTACCTGCCCACCCTAGAGGCACTGCACAGCTTTATCCCGCCTCTCGGCACCCCTCCTCAGATATGCTGGGCTCGCCCCCTTCTTGGGGTGCTTGCACCTGTGCTCCGTCTGTCTGAAAAGTTCCCCTGCATGGCTGAGGGGAGCACCCATGCACTGTCAGTCGCCATCAAAGTGTTCCTTCCTAGCAGTGTGGAGGTTCCTCAGAAAATTAAAAATAGACCTACCCTATGACCCGGCAATAGCACTGCTAGGAATTTACCCAAGGGATACAGGAGTGCTGATGCATAGGGGCACTTGTACCCCAATGTTCATAGCAGCACTCTCAACAGTACCCAAATTGTGGAAAGGGCCTAAATGTCCATCAACTGATGAGTGGATAAAGAAATTGTGGTTTATATACACAATGGAATACTACGTGGCAATGAGAAAGAATGAAATATGGCCTTTTGTAGCAACGTGGATGGAACTGGAGAGTGTGATGCTAAGTGAAATAAGCCATACAGAGAAAGACAGATACCATATGGTTTCACTCTTACGTGGATCCTGAGAAACTTAAGAGAAACCCATGGGGGAGGGGAAGGAAAAAAAAAAAAAAGAGGTTAGAGTGGGAGAGAGAGCCAAAGCATAAGAGACTGTTAAAAACTGAGAACAAACTGAGGGTCGATGGGGGGTGGGAAGGAAGGACGGGTGGGTGATGGGCATTGAGGAGGGCACCTTTTGGGATGAGCACTGGGTGTTGTATGGAAACCAATTTGACAATAAATTTCATATATTGAAAAAAAAAAAAGATTAACCAGGTATTTTGACATTGATATTTAAGTCACATCTCCTCTTTTTGAATATTATGTTAATACTAGTTTATATTTATTAAAAAGTTCTGTTTAACAGAAAAAAAAAAAGTGTTCCTTCCTGAGCACTTCCCTAACAGCCGAGCCTGAGTCACAGCCCCACTCCCTCCTCCCCCGGCCTTACTTTCCTTCCTAGGGTCATCCCAGCAGGATATTCTGTGTGCTGTGTTCACCAAGTCCTTTCCCTGCCCGATAGCTGGAAGGAAGGTCCACGAGCAGGGACTTGGGTCTATTTTGTGCAACGCCCGCCCTCCCCTCCAGAGCAATGCCTGCAACATAGAACAAGCTAAGGAAGCCTTTGTTGAATGGGCCAGCGAGCTGAACAGGTAGCCGGTAAAATCCTACATTGATAGGATCCTCAACGACTGAGAGTTCTTTGGTTTTCTGGAACCTTTCTAAGAACCAAACCTTTAGAAATGTGGAGGCATTGGTGACATCATGCCATTTCCACTCTAGGATGCTGTTGGGGAGGCTGAACTTCGGCCAGGACTCCTTAACAAAAGGAAATCAGCTCATTAATGCACATGAAGCCCGTCTTCAAAAAGCTCACGGAAAAGTGACTCAAAGCAGCAATTCAGAACTGCCACCCCTGTAGCATCTTCAACCAGGAACAGTAAATTTGCAGGGAATTAGCCGGACGAAGGGGAGCAGTTTTAGGTGTTCGAGGACAGCAGATCATGGGAGGCAACTATTGAGAGGAAGGTCTATTTGCAGATTCCGCTGGTTCTGCAGTCTTCCGCTGCGCTGAGAGTCTATCT